AGCGATAATTGTAAAGCAATTATTTGGCGCTTGCATCTTATGCAATAAAGAGACAACCATAAGGCTTCTGTCAGTTGCCGATAACTTCAACAAAACATGATCATCTTATACAACAACTTATATCTCATCACGTCTTGACCATATCACATCACAACATGCCCTGCAAAAACAAGTTAGACGTCCTCTACTTTGTTGTTGCAAGTTTTACGTGGCTGCTACGGGTTTAGCAAGAACCGTTCTTACCTACGCATCAAAACCACAACGATAGTTTGTCAAGTTGGTGCTGTTTTAACCTTCTCAAGGACCGGGCGTGGCCACACTTGGTTCAACTAAAGTTGGAGAAACTGACACCCGCTAGTCACCTGTGTGCATAGCACGGCGGTAAAACCAGTCTCACGTAAGCGTACACGTAATGTCGGTCCGGGCCGCTTCATCCAATAATACCGCCGAACCAAAGTGTGACATGCTGGTAAGCAGTATGAATTATATCGCCCACAACTCACTTGTGTTCTACTCGTGCATATAACATCAATGCATAAAACCTAGGCTCTGATACCATTATTGGGGAACGTAGTAATTTAAAATTTTCCTACGCACACGCAAGATCATGGTGATGCATAGCAATGAGAGGGGAGAGTGTTGTCTACGTACCCTCATAGACCGGAAGCGGAAGCGTTAGCACAACGCGGTTGATGTAGTCGTACGTCTTCACGGCCTGACCGATCAAGCACCGAAACTACGACACCTCCGAGTTCTAGCACACGTTCAGCTCGATGACGATCCCCGGACTCCGATCCAGCAGAATGTCGGGGGAAGAGTTCCGTCAGCACGACGGCGTGGTGACGATCTTGATGTTCTACCGTCGCAGGGCTTCGCCTAAGCACCGCTACAATATTATCGAGGATTATGGTGGATGGGGGCACCGCACACGGCTAAGAGATCAATGATCAATTGTTGTGTCTCTGGGGTGCCCCCCTGCCCCTGTATATAAAGGAGTGGAGGAGGGGCCGGCCAAGGAGGGTGGCGCGCCCAAAGGAGGAGTCCAACTCCCACCGGGAGTAGGACTCCCCTTTTTCCTATTAGGAGTAGGAGAGGGAAGGAAGATGAAGGAGGGAGGAAGGAAAGGGGGGGCCGGGCCCCCTCCCAATTCGGATTGGGCTTGGGGGGGCGCCCCCTCCCTTGCTCCTTTCCCCTCCTTTCCACTAAGGCCCAATAAGGCCCATATACCTCTCGGGGGGTTCCGATAACCTCCCGGTGATCCCGTATTGTCCCAATCTTACCCGGAACCTTTTCGGTGTCCAAATATAGTCATCCAATATATTGATCTTTATGTCTCGACCATTTAGAGACTCCTCGTCAAGTCCGTGATCACATTCGGGACTCCGAACAACCTTCGGTACATCAAAATATATAAACTCATAATGAAACTGTCATCGTAACGTTAAGCGTGCGGACCCTACGGGTTCGAGAACAATGTAGACATGACCGAGACATGTCTTTGGTCAATAACCAATAGCGGAACCTGGATGCTCATATTGGCTCCTACATATTCTACGAAGATCTTTATCGGTCAGACCGCATAACAACATATGTTGTTCCCTTTGTCATCGGTATGTTACTTGCCCGAGATTCGATCGTCGGTATCTCAATACCTAGTTCAATCTCGTTACCGGCAAGTCTCTTTACTCGTTCCGTAATACATCATCCTGCAACTAACTCATTAGTTGCAATGCTTGCAAGGCTTAAGTGATGTGCATTACCAAGAGGGCCCAGAGATATCTCTCCGACAATCGGAGTGACAAATCCTAATCTTGAAATACGCCAACCCAACAAGTACCGTCGGAGACACCTGTAGAGCACCTTTATAATCACCCAGTTACGTTGTGATGTTTGGTGGCACACAAAGTGTTCCTCCGGTAAACGGAAGTTGCATAATCTCATAGTCATAAGAACATGTATAAGTCATGAAGAAAGCAATAGCAACAAACTAAACGATCAAGTGCTATGCTAACGGAATGGGTCAAGTCAATCACATCATTCTCCTAATGATGTGATCCCATTAATCAAATGACAACGCATCTCTATGGTTAGGAAACATAACCATCTTTGATCAACGAGCTAGTCAAGTAGAGGCATACTAGTGACACTCTGTTTGTCTATGTATTCACACATGTATTCTGTTTCCAGTTAATACAATTCTAGCATGAATAATAAACATTTATCATCATATAAGGAAATAAATAATAACTTTATTATTGCCTCTAGGGCATATTTCCTTCAAGGCATGCCCGCTGTGAGAGGGTGAACGCGTGTTGCGACTCCTGCTCGTCCTCTACGGTGTTGGCGCCGTCTGGATCTCACGAGGGCCGGGTCGTCCGTACGGTCAAGCAGCAGATGCTAATCTCTAAGGGCACCTACAGCCGGACTGAACAAATTTGGCCTCTCAAACGTTCACGGATGCGTCCGTCAGTGTGCGGGTGTGTCTGTTTTGACTCTATTTTCTCATTCATGCAACCATGTCCTTCACTTTTACCTTATATGTCCAGTCACATGCATATGATTGATGGAGAAGGAGAGAGAGAAAGAAAAGAAGGAAAAAAGATGCTATGTGGTGGGCCTAATCCTATGTGACGGACGCAGTAACACTGACCAGACACGCCCAGGCACTCCTTATACTCATCTCATATATGAGATGAATATGAGGAGTGTCGGACAACGCGGGCATTTACGGAGGCTTTGAGGGGTCTGGTTAGATAAACTTTTTTGCTTCTCTCTCCTGTTCAGTCAGTGGTCCTGCGTCCGCCTGATCAATTTGAAGAGTCCGCCTGTAGATGCTCTAAGGAGTCAGATGTGTGCCGCCGCCAAATCAACACCAAGTTAATGCAGAGGGTATTGTGGCGTCGCGCTTCAACGCGGAGAAGAAAGCAAAGGAGGATGCCTGTGCCTGAATCCTCGTGAAGGAGCAAACCAGGGTCGCCCCTGACCTCACGGAGGAGAAAGCCTGGGCCATCTATGCCTTAGCCGGCATGCCCGCAAAGTCAGACGAGAACATGTCCCATGCCTCCTTCGACACATCCAACTCATGCGGCAAACGGATCCGCCTCGACCCCTACATACTCTCCAAACTCTATTTTCGCGATAACGACGACAAGTTCAAGGGCAAGGGCAGCCGTCAATGAAATTTCCCTATCTACTCCTAGCTTAGTTTAGTGTTGTCTTACGCCATCGAACTGTCTAGTCTTAGTTTAATATTAATGTTGTCCTCTGTTGGCCTATGTATGTATGTGTTGATTGACGTTGCATGGTTTGTATGGATTTTAGAGCAACTCCAACACACTGACACAAACAGACGCGCGTTTTGTCCGCCTTTTGTACGTTTGGGTCGACTGGCTGCTCATCGTCCGCCCCCTTTTGCATTTGCAGCGGTCGTGTGCCCAACGCGCGGACGCATTTTCGTCCTCGCGGCCGGCCTGCTGTGTTTTTGCAAACATATGGAAATTTGACCCTAGTTTACATATTTCAAACCAAATACAATATCGGTTGTCCGACGGTGGCGACGCGGGTTCGTCCTTCACGCGGCACTCAATTTGGACGCCGCAGTTGCATGCCGGGGACGTCAGGTCCTCCTTGATGCGGCATCTGATCTGAACGTTACCGTGGTTGCGTAGGGGGACGTTGTCTCCTCCTTCACGCGGCGGAGTGGAAACGCGATAGAGCGGTAGAGTGGAGATGCAATAGCGCGGCGGGGATGACGGTTCCTCCTTGTTGGAACGCGGCGGCAAGGGCGGTGTTGGGTCACACTCCTGGAGCGATCGCCCAGTAATGCTTCCGTCAAAGCAAGGAGGCGCGATTGACACTGCAGCAGCGCCTGGTCCTCCTCATTGCCGGAGGAGATGGCAATCTCCTTTTTGCCAGAGGAGCCGGTCGTCGTGGAGGCCGAGGCCCCCCGAAACCGCGGCGGCGACGCCATGAGCTTGACGAAGATCGACTACTTCTGCTGGCGCGGAGAACCAATATTTCAACATCGCTAGAGTTGGTGAGGCTTGAGGAGGAGGAGGGGCTCATAGAGGAGAAGGTGTGGATGTGCATTGTCGGAACACGGTTCATTTAGCCGCGGCGAGGCCATGCGAACGGACGGCCAACCCGCTTCAATGTGGCGCAACGCCCCGAGTTGGTTTCTTGAGGCGCGACACCCACATTGAAGCAGTGATACCCGAGAGGTTGCATCGTTAGCGCTGCCCTCCCAACCGGTCATGTCGCACAACTTCAATGTCGGTTGGTACGTGCTCTGGGCTGCCATGAATGCGGGAAAGAAAAACGAAGCGTGGGTTGGATGGAAATGGTGGGAGAGGCCGAATGTTTTTTTAGGTGGGCTAGGATATTCGGAAGCGGGCATGGTTTGCGGGTCCGTACCGTCGAACAGAGCAATACAGGACCGCGTTAGATGGCAAAACACGTCCGGACCGCGTGATATGGACGATTACGAACAGTTTGAGAGTCAGCATTGGAGATGCCCTTAGTCTCCTTTTCCATCTCAGGTAATACAAAGGATTACAAATTCAGCCAGCCGCTTTTTCCATGAGAGGAGGGCAAACTTAATCTGGTTCAAATCTGATGACGTCAGCTTGATCAATTTCAATGACATCAAAGCAAATCCGAAGAGACAAGAGAGAGACAGAGACTTACACACGAGATTGACGAGCAGAGTGGCGAAGTGAAAGCTTGATCAAGTTCAAAACAAATCAGATGATAGCAGTTCAATCAATTCCACTGCTCCGTCGACCTCCCTCCGTCGACCTCGCGTCCACTTCAGCGGGTCAATTCCACTGCGCGTCGACTGCGCGTTTCTGTCGTCCTCGCGCCGTATACGTCCGAGGATCTCGCTTAAAAAATGACTCCACGCCTCCTTTAATTCTGTCCACCATACCTGGTTCGCCTCCCAGCTCCACCGCCACAGACTCGAATCCACTCCACTCGCACCCAAGCGCACACCACACCCCATGGCTCTCACCGGCGGCGCCACCACCGCAGCGTGCATCCTCGTCCTCCTCGCACTCGCCGGCGCCGCGGGGGCAACCTTCTCGGGCTCGGCGCCGCCGCCGGTGGACTGCTCGGCATTGTTGGCTGGCCTCGCAGACTGCCTCGACTTTGTGTCGCCCGGCAGCAAGTCGAGCCAGCCTTCCAAGACCTGCTGCGGGGAGGTGAAGACCTCCGTCGGCAGCCCCGCCGTCGTCGACTGCGTCTGCGCCGCCATGTTCTCGAAGCTGACGCAGTTACCGATCAACAGGACACGGGTGTACGCTCTCCCCGACGCCTGCGGCACACCGGCCTCCGTCTTCAACAGGTGCCATGGTGAGCACCGTGCCTTTTCTCACTTCTTTCATAATCTTCTTGCCCTGACTCTGGCTAGAATCTGCTTCCCTTTTTTACATCAAGAAACTAGAGCTAAATCGTGTTGTTTTACTAGGAAGTTTATCGTTGATTTGATTCCTGTGTGGGATTTACGATGAAAGATCTCAATTCTTGTTAGAGCATCTGCAACAGCAATGCACAAATCTGACCCCCTCTATGTCCGCGGACACATCCACGAATAGGGGCCAACCAACCCATGTATGTCCTCCCTGCAACCACATCCTTCACTTGCAAAATCTCAAATCCATGTAGCCACATGCACGTCGATCATTTCATGATACGGATACATGTAACAATGATTATAGCACACAATTAAAATCTAGGGCGGCGACCATGTCCGAGGCGGCAAGGACAACCGTGCATGGTTTGGGTCCGATGGTGGTGGTGTTGTGGGTTGGGGACAGCGACGAAGCTAGGGTGACGGCGGCGGCTGAGCAAGGGAAGGGGTGGCATGGAAGAGACAAAAGAAGGCAGGTTGGGCAAAGGCAAGGGATGATTTGGAGAGATATGAGATGAACCTGACCTGTCGGGTCCGACATGCTGGACGCGTTCGAGCGTCCCCATATCCACGCCACATATGGACTGAATTTGAGGGGTATCAGACAACCCGGACATTTAGGGGAAAATGTGTG